TTCACTTTACATTCAGTATTATTCCTTTATCCTGCTGCTTCACTTTACATTCAGTATCATTCCTTTATCCTGCTGTTTCACTTTACATTGATTATTATTCCTTTATCCTGTTACTTCACTTTACATTGAGTATCATTCCTTTATCCTGCTGCTTCACTTTACATTCAGTATCATTCCTTTATCCTGCTGCTTTGAGATGTGCAGTATATTTAGATTTATTTATTATGAGGAAACACAATATCAAGGATCATCACTGTGTAGTTTTCATCAGTAGCAATATCACAAATATTATTCATTGTTTGTTCAAACACACTGAACATTTTATTTAATTAATCAAAGTACATTATTGAGTTTGCTCCTTCAGTCAGGAGCAAACATCCAAAAGGAAATTATAATGTGACATTCATCGTGATGATCATTGATACGGTTATTTTTATCGTGATATTGTGTTTGGCCACATCCTCCATCCCAAGGATTGTGCTATTAAGTTAAATGTCTCTTGTCTGAAAAAAGTTAACTGTATGACACATTATTTTTACTTGTGATATCAAATAATTGATTTCCTCTGACATTTTCTGACTCTTTCAAGTTATTTATGGAGGCTGCACATAACTTATAGTAGACCTTTATTCAGATGAGTGGCCGAGCTCACCCTCGTCTCGTCTCACATTGACTCGGTGACTTCATTAAGAGCTGAGACTTGTGTGCTGGGTTGAGCCTCTCACTGAGGACTGGAAACTGAAGCCAGGTGGAAGGGCCGGTTTCAGATGCAGTGTTATGCAAAGCAGCAGAATTTGTTTGCTTGGTCTCTGCACGGTCTCTCAAAGTCTCTGGTGAAACAGATTTACTCAGTGACCGATGAGCTGCATTTCAGTTTATATTAACGAATGTGGACGTTTAGCAATTTTTGATATCAAAAAGCTCCAGCGTGAGCTGTGTCAGGAGGGTTTTTGTATCTGAGTATAGTTGACCAAGGGAAGCACATCAGTCCTAAGATGTCTAAAGTCAACAGAGACGTGTCATTTTTCGGGAAATGGACAGGGCATGGCAACGTGTGCATTTCTAACAGGCACACAGACTTTGCTGAGGTCAGAGGAAATGTAAACAAGCCTTATTCCTTCAAGCAACATTAGTGATGCCAGCAACTACCCTAACTGTCGTAAACCTGTCTTATATGTTTGCATTTCTCTGAGTCATGTGGTGGCAGGTTTTTTAAGGACACCAAGCTTTTTAAAAGTTAATGAGTTAATTTCCTTTTCTTCCTTTGCTTTCCTCAAACTCCTTTTACCAAAACTAATTAATACTGGTATGGTGCATAGTCCTCTTCTGTACATCCTGTTTTGCACAATGGCTTTTTCTTCAAATTAATGATTTATATAATCTAAATATCTTAAAGATTTGTTTTTAGTATTGAATCTTCAAATAAGAACAGAAGAATCACAATGACATGGTGCCACATCTGCTGATTGAATTATTTCACGTATTAATTTATGTGTATGATAATCAGAGGCTGGAGGAAAAGCACTGCTTTCTTTTCCCCTCCAGACCAGACCCCTCTGTTTAGTTTCCCACATGCAGTTGAGTAAACTGCTGCAGAGACGTGCTTTCAGCCGAGATTCAGCCCAAATCCTGTCTTAATGAGAGCAGTGATTCTAAAGCAGTGTCAGAAACAGATCAGGGAACAAACTGTTGTCATCAAATGTCTTGGATTCATCTAATAAACCAGCAAATTACATTTTCAGAATAGCAGCTGATTGTTCTTAATGATAAAAAACCCAACATGCTTTACCTACGTCTACAGTCTCCAGGCAGTTTCTTTTATTTCCAGGTTTTGTAAATCTCTCTGTATATATTAATACTGTATTTGTTAGAGTTACCTGCTCTGCAATGTGAAATCTATGATGAGACTTCCTCCTGTCTCACATACAGCCCACATCGACCCCTCTTTAGTTTTTGTGGTGGTGAATTCATTAAGCTGTGCATTTGCTCCTCCAGTCCAAACCACAACCAGCACGTTATTATACACGTGTGGTTGTAAAACCTGAATGTGTGATTATGTGTTTTGACCTATTAGAAATGACCAGATAATATTGATGCAAACGTTGTGTCTGGTCTTGTTCAGCAAGTGGCTGCTGCTAACGTGCGGCCCTTCATTTCAGCAGCATAGAGTGGCCACTTGAAGATGGCTCATTGTGGCGGGTTTTTCATAGGTGTGTTGTTTTTATGCTGAGCGGTAGCCTGGCTCTTTGAAAACCACCTCCCCGCTTGTTTACGGCAATTCTATCCCCATCCGCCTAATGATTTGGCTGTTTTGACTACGCTCTTTGGTCTGTCCTCTTCAAAGCAGCATTAAAGCCTCACTGTTTTTCCATCGCTACCCTTTTCATGTTATTCACATGCAGCAGTTTGTTGTATCCACACACTCTCTCTCTCTCTCTTTTCTCCCAGGAACAGTGCATTATGACAGAAAGCATTATGAGTAAAGCTGCCACAATGGAGATTCCTATCAACAGTAACGGGGACACAGGGACACTAACAGAAGACGACAGCCTTGAACAGGTGGGTCACTGGGTGCACCATTTTGAGTTGACCCTGCACAGCTTGGTTTACCTATTTAAAGCTATAACTCAAGGAATCAGTGAGCAAACTGTTTGTGTTTACACACATTCGATCCCAGGCCAACAAAACACTTAAAAAAAGAACTTGTGCAAACAAAAGAGTAATCTCAAGCTCATTTTTTTAACTTGGTTAAAGAACCACCACACTAGACCACTGTCTTTTACACCTGTTAGATCACTTGTATAAACATGTTTTTAAAAATGAAGTAAAAGTTTATTTATACATTTTAAGGATTTTTTTTATGGTCAGTTGTAGTGTAATTTAGTTTTCTTTCTCCGAATGAGCTTCTCCGCTTGATGATTTATTCAAAGATATTTTCCCTGGGGCTCACGCTGTGTGATTCATGGGAGAGCACATGAAGAAAATCAATCCGACCTATATGAGCCAGCGGTAGTGTCATGAGTTATCATGGTGTGAAGGATAAATGCGTTCCTTCATTGTTTGAAGTTGACATAATGGTTCTGGGTATTGTTCTCGGCTATCACAAGATAAGCCGAGTCAGCTGACTCCTTTCACGCCACAGGACCACTCTGTGGTCAAATGTACAGAACAAATTAGGACTAGTGCTTTGTCATAAATGGAGTTCACGATCTTCTGGTTGTGTCACTTACTGTTTTTTATCTCACCTTGCCTTAATTTACCTTTATTCAACCGAGCAGAATAATCTGAAACCATATTTCAGTCCCTGTAAATTAAAATATAAGATTCTAAATACTAGATTCCTCTGTTATGTCATGTACTGCCCTTCACACACTACTTGAAGCCCTTGTGTTCCTTGGCTTGGTTAACGACAAGAGGAATCCCACTGGGAAATCAGGTGTCGGAGTTCAGATGTCTCCTTGGGAACCAGTTGTTCCCATTAACAGCTCAAGTGGCCTCATGTTTGGTGGTTGCAGAAATGCAGATACACCTCTAGTGTATTTGGTTCCCCTGAACACTAGGTGTCAAACTAAGAAGGTGGATGTTGCTCTCCAGGTTGGAACTATTAATATAAAGAATAATAAAAGACGCTATGCTCCGAAACAGTTTGTCTCCACCCTCCTCAGGAGTGTCTTTGTCATCGTCGGTTAGAATAAAATAAGATGCAGAGTAAGCAAGGCTGTTCTTTCCTCTACATCCTCAGGCACACCTTGTTATACAAACAGACTCAAGATCCTGGTGGAAGCTCAAGCAGTTAATTGTTATTTGCTCACCAAACTATGTGTGGCTCCTGGTGTAGTATAAGAATAGCCTGTCGTCTTACCCAGTTTGCATTGTGATGCAAACATTCAGCCATTTGTCGCGGCTTGTACAGTTAAAAACTCTGTTTACTGGCAGCGTCTCGTCTGGCTTCACTGTTTAGTGCTGGATATCAACCAGTTGTCATAGCAACTCTGCAATTAATCTGAAACTGGCTGTGCTTTGTCCTTGGGTGAAAGCCCTCTGAAATCAGATAGATATCCGCTGTGTGGAACCTGGTTTACAGCTGCAGCAGTTTCTGTTGCTCTTGCACGTAGACGTGCAGATCGACGGGTGGAGGACGAGCAGAAGCCTTTCAGGTTTCAAACGCTTGTATCAGAACATGGAGGCTGAGTGGCAGCTTGACAGTGTCAGAGAGAATCGACTGCCAACAGCATCCTGGCAAAGGCATCTGATGCATCAGGGTGGATCAGTGGTGCCTTTTAGCAGTGTAACAGCCTTTTGAGACGTTTGTATGGTTATACACAGTTTCTCAGAGGTGACACTCATGCTGTCATTCCCCCTTTGTGTTGTTAGAATCACATTTTTCTATGAAATATCATAAAGTAGCTGCTGTAGGATCCTGTTTATGGTACAAAATCTGCACAAAAACAGGCTAAACTTTTTCTTGAACCCACCAAACCTTGCTCTTAGTTGACAGCAGGATTATTTTATCATGACGTAGTACTTTCCATCATCTTAGGGACCAGGCACTGTGTCAACAAAGCGTCCAGGGAGGGATCAGTGTTTGCGTCAGTTTTCTCCCTCACTGAACAGATGTCACAACACAAGGAGAGGTTTCTAAAATAAAGGGATGTACACTGAATGAAAGAGAAAAGAGTAGAAGGGTTAGGGGTATTCTTTGTTTTTAACATGTTATTTGATTCAGTGTCCGTGTGGTTAAAGTCTCCATCTGTGCATGAGGTTAGATTTAAAAAAACTGTCATTGTTGGCAGCACAAATTCGCACAGTTACTTTCATTGGCCGCTACTAACACAACCAACTATAATTGGTATTTGCTGTCCTGACAATCAAAGTGTGCCACCAGGAGTTTGGGGACTCAGATACGAGGTTTGTGTTGAAATTTGAATGTGTTCACAGTTTTTTTCTTTTCTTAATTTTGTTTTCCCATTGAATGTTGATGTCACTGTTAATGTCTGTACATGAATAGATTATTTATTTACAGTCGAATTAGAATCAGTGGTGTCTTTGTCCAGACAGTGATGGAAGAATATCATGGCAAAGCTGTGAGTAACACATTTTAAATGGAAAGTGGTGAGCTACAACACGCCAAGCCAAACACGCTAAATAATGAACCGTGCTCCGACCTGCTGTGGTATCAGTCGCCATCACTGCTCTCCGTCTTACATCCCTGCTGTGTGGACATCACAATAATTTCTTTCTGGGATTTCTTTTGACATCGTTCTATCTTGTTTCATGACTTCAGACATGGATTTTTTTTCTTTTTGTCTTTTTTTGTTTTGTTCGTGTTTTGTTTGTCGACCTTCTCCCCCCCTCCTCCCCTCCCCTCCCCTCCCTCCCTCCCTCCCTCCCTCCTCCATCTCTGTGCAGGCTGCAAATCTGCAGTGGAGCTTAGATGAGAAAGTAGGGAGCTCCAGAGACACCAGGGTGAGCAGGCCATTTGTGCGTTTGTGTGTGTGTGTTTTGACGTTGTGTAGCAACACTCAGTGGTTTGACTTAATGCAGCATTTAATTGCCTCACATCGCGACATTGGTTTGTTTCACGAAATGTCAGATACTTTCTTTTTATTACAAACCACTGTGCGGTTTGAATTGTGCTCCAACTAACTTCAGCTGCAGGGAGTCTCTCAAACAAGTTTTGAGAGACTCCCTCAAAGTAAGTGGTGTTAACAAAATAGCTGCAGGCTAACACTTAGAACACAACATAACAATCTGTTTGCATTTGTACATTAGATTCAGAACCATCTAGTTTGTGTTGTCTCGAGTGAGCTAACATAGCCTAGAATCTGTGTGTGTGTGTGTGTGTGTGTGTGTTCACCTGGGTGACGTGTGAGGCTACATCCACACCTCTACGCCTTAGTTTCTAAATGCATCAAACTCCAGAGTTTCCAAGCTTTAAAAAAATAACTGTTTGGAAACACTGCTGGAGTTGTGTTTGAGTCCAGACAGAGGAAGACAGACACGTTCAAGCCTTGTCTACACTAATGAATGCAAGGCGTTGAAAACACTTACTCTAAGCAACAGTTCCACCTCAGCTTTGGTCTAATGAAATAAATCCCTGCTCTTACTTTTCACCACAGCTATTCATCTTTCCTAGTGTCTGTAATAAAAGCAACCAACTCCAGTGTAGACAATCTGCTTCCTGTTTAGCACACGCATGTCCAGTGTATGTTATATGCATGTTCAGGCGTTCAAATATGTTTTAAAACTAAAACGTATTAGTTTGGATGTAGCCTGAGTGTGATCCCTTTCATTGAGCAAGTGTTGAAACATGGTGGCAAACTAATAACATGTCCTAATGTTGTGCGACTGGGCTTCACGTGTTCTGTTCTTTTATGTGTCAGTTATAAAAACTGTGTTTGTGTTGTGAAGGTTCACTCTAAGTGTTAGTTAAGTCTCAACAAGCAGAAAAGGCCCTGAAGCAAAGCTTTGATACGTTTGTAGAAACTCTTCGGTCTCATTTCCCTCTGTTAAAGTGCAGCTTGACCTCACACAGCACAAATCACAGCAACTGTACATTACGAAAAAAAAAAGTCTTTGTGTTTGTTTACAACAGGGAAATGGCTGCTTCCCCTCTAGAGCTTTTCTTCTATAGTTTTCTTGTCACAATCTTACTGCACAGACCCGCCCCAAGATTTCAGGAATGCTCCCATTTCATTTTCAGATTGGAAATTATGGGTTTTTGCTCAATGTGGAATATTGAGCACTCTTTGCTCGTGGCACAGGCAGGAGTACAAAACTGTTATAGGAAACTTAAGGCTGTGCCAGAGTGAGAAATCTGTTTGGACCAGATATTCCTTTTTTCCACCAATCCCCCCTTGAATGTTCTTTTCTTTACCAGATGATACACGAGCAGGAAAGCAGACAAAAGAAAACAGTGAGTTTAATTAAAGAAAACAGACCCGATGGATCCTGTGGCTGGTAACACAGTCCCCCTCTTGATCCAGAGCCACACTGAAGCCTGTGATGGTGATTGTTTTGGAAGGGGAAACTAGTTTGCTCCAGCATTTCCTACTGTTTAGATCATTTAAGTCACTGCTCGGGTTAGACTCCGCGCTGTGGAAGTCTTCTTGTTTGCTCTCAACAGCGTCACGTCTGGAGATTCTCTGCTTGGTTAATCATTGGTGTTTTTTTATGTCTTTCCTACGAGTGTTTTGTCCTGTTGTTATCGAGATAAGTAGAAGTTAGGCAACGCCTGGAGACAGTGTTCTCACTAACCTTCATTAACTCAGTAGTGTCTGTCCCCCTCTAGTGACTAAGCCTCTAACTTACATTGTCTACACTGACTGAATGTGACACTCGAGCCGTAATCGCCTGTTTGTATACCCCCCCCCACCCCGAACCCTTCCCTTTGTTCTTCTTTTATTATTTCTATGTGGCCATTAAAACTTTGCAGGACCTGCAGCAGGTGATGGTGTCGGGTCCCAACCTGAACGAGACGAGCATCGTGTCAGGAGGGTATGGAGGAACAGCAGAGGGTATCATCCCCACCAGCTCCATCAAAGGTAGAGTCCCGCTTCACTCTCCGTCCCTCATTTTTAAAATCTTTCTTCTCAGCCAAACTGTCGCTCTGCTGTTTTTGACGTATACTGTTGACTTTGTGCTCCATTTGTGAGATTTTTTGATTCCTCCGGCCTACAATCAGCCTTCCTCTGATATCTCGCTTTAATTCATTTGTGTTAATTGGTGGTCAGATTGTGCTGATGTATCTGAAAATGGTCCATTACTCAAATCACATTTTTCTATGGAAGGTGTAGGATACAGCAGGATGAAAGCCAGTAGAGTGCGTACCTCTGCCAACTGTCATCCTATGAAACCATATTTGGATCTGCACCAAATTACACACACTCGTAAATATCAGGCCCCTAAATATGCCTGATTTTCCATTTTCCATCAACATCCATTAATTATTATTTGAGAAATCAAGGGAATGTGTAGAACACATACAGTATATCTGTTCGTCCTCAGATAGCATCTTCCAGCGACTTGGAGCATAAAACTTGATCGCACTTTCGATCAGCTAAAGAGACTTACACTAGAAGTCAAAGTAGATCAGGAGCTTAACTCCAGCAGTGCATCTCAGTTTCACAGGGAAATAATAACACCATCCTTCCTCTTATTTGATTCTAGTATCTCTGAATCTTTGTCCCACTCTCTCTCTCCCTCTCTCTCTCTCTCAGGGCCAGCTGTGCACTACAATGCAGAGTTTAACAAAAGGATCCCAGTTACAGGATTCGGTAGATCCATAGTTCTAATAATTGAGAGCTCACATCCAAAATGTGATAAAAAAAACAAAAAAAACATTTATGGTGATGCAGGAGCTTTATAGACTCTAGACCAGCGGTTCCCAAACGACACAGAAGGAAAGGTCTCAAGAGGATTTCCTGAAATCAATCATCATATTTTGGTCATAATTGTTCCAAAAGCTGAAAATTCCTGGTTAAATTTAAGATAAAACTAAGTAAATAGTCATCAGCTTTCTGATTCACTGCCTCCATGTGACCCCTGAGGTTATTAAGACAGATTAGTTACAGCATCGGTTACAGCAGTTTAATTTACAGCACCACAGGAAACACTGCCACATGTGCACATGGGTGAAAGTGTTTCTGACGTCCTTCGGGATAACGTGCACGGGCTGAAAAGTTTGGGAACCTCAGATCTAGACTATTCAGTAACTGTTGCTAAGGTTTTATAAGCAAGAACTTTTTACTGTAAACTTCACATGTCACATGATGGATATCTCATTTTGGAGAGAAGTTCTTTACATGGAGTGTCTTTTTTTTAGCTAACTGGGAAACTGCTGCCCTGTCCCTTTTTATCAAATTGTGTCTTTTTCGGTGGAGAGAAGTCGGGGTACTTATTCCAGCCTGGTGCTCTTTTTCTAACACAACTTTTCCCTCACACTTTAATTCCTCTAATTCTCTGGTTGGCTTCTTTTCTTTGTCTTTCAGTGGGTCTTTACTTTTTAGTTTTTCACAGAATATCCTAACGTCTCTGTAGCAAAGAGGAAACCGTCTTCATTAATGTGTTTGTTTTATCACCACTAGTAAAAGTAAGATGATATTGCAAAAACTTCAGTAAACTTTTAGATTTTAAAATCCCCCCCCATGTCTCTCGTGTTTATCATTTTTATTTATTATTTAATAAAAACCTAATCCTCTTTATTTAGCATCACACCATTCAACACTGCATTTCAACCTGCCCCCATCTTCACCATTACTCATTCGTCTGCATTGTTCACTGATTGTCATGCACTAAACGTTGTCTTTTCATCTTGTCTATCTTTGTCCTCCACCTCTTTTTCACAATTCCCTCCCACATGTTCCTCATCGTCCTCTTCTCCCTTTTGTTGTCTTACTTCTTTTCTGCATCTCCCCGCTCTTCCCCACAAACTTCCTCCTACGTTATCTTTCTATTTCTGTCACGCTCCTTCAACCTGAATAATTACTTCATGTTTAAATCTCAATCCTTCCCATTATTTGAAAAATAAAAATGTAAATCCCACTCCTACTCACTCCCCTCATTCATACCCCGAACTATTCCTTCAACCACCCATCTGCTCTCACAGACCTGCGTATGAAGGCCAGGCGAAGTAATGTTCCCCCAAACAGTAATGTCATCTGCCATTTAGCCGGCCCGCCACATGAATACCAAGGTACTGCAGAAGAAAAGAAAAGTGTGATGTTACTTGTTGAAACATTCAAAAGCCTCTGTATTGATAAACCAGGTAATTTAGCAGGTACCTAAAAAAAAATCCCTTCAGTTTGTTGAATAGTTCAATAAAAAAGAAGTTGGTTTCATTATACTAAAGTCGTTTCTCTCAGTATTTTCAATATTTCTTTGCTACTAACTCTCTGAATGTTTCATGGTGGTTTACGGGATCATGGTGATGGATTGTGGTTGTGAGAAAGCAGACGTAGACTCAGTTTTTGTCTTCACTGAAAGCAGCAAAGTTTTTATTTCCTTTTTCCTGGGGTCAATCTTTATGCCTCATTATGTTCATCATGTTCTTTGTGTTTTTACATTTCGGTCTCTTCTTCTCAGGCTCCAACATGCACCACAGCAGCAGCAGCTCGTCGATGACAGCGGAAGAAATGACCCGTGGCGTGGCTGTGGAAAAACTAGAAACTGTGAAGAAGTGGGGTTACAACACATACAAGGTAAGAGCTACTTGATTGACTGATTGATTTTTATTTCAGTGTGTCTGTGAGGAGCGTCGGGATGAATCGGTTTGTGTTTCTGATGTGTCTTGTGTTCAGTGCACAAAGCAGATGATCTCGGAGCGTTTTGGTCGGGGTTCCCGGACTGTGGACCTGGAGCTTGAGGCCCAGATCGAGGTGCTGAGAGACACTAAAAGGAAATATGAGAATATGCTGCGATTGGCCAGAGCCCTGACCAACCACTTCTACAACATGGTGCAGACGCAGCACGCGCTGGGCGACACGTTCGCTGACCTCAGCCAGAAATCTCCAGAGCTACGAGTGAGGCCTAAAATTTATTGACGTATTTTTTATGTCAGTTGTCCTAATATTTAGAAGCTGAAAATATTTAAACACTTTTAAAAGCTTTTAGCATCATCTGTGTTAAATCTGTGTTTTTCTTTACAGGATGAGTTTGGCTACAATGCAGAGACTCAGAAGTTGCTGTGTAAGAATGGGGAGACTCTACTTGGTGCCGTTAATTTCTTCGTGTCAAGCATCAACACACTAGTCAACAAGACCATGGAGGACACCCTGATGACGATCAAGATGTATGAAAATGCCAGGTAAGGTCAGGCAGCAGGTTCATGTCTTCTTTCACCTGCGAGCCAGGACGGTTAGCAAAGAGATTTAGACAAAACAAGAAACGCATATTGATATTACCCTATAAAATGTGAAAACAATGGGACAGAGTTGCTCAAAGTCACGAGGCTAGCTCTCTGATCCACAGCTTCACAGCTTCACTTCATTTTCACCTGCTTTTAGCACAAAAGCTCCAAAAAAACTACTGCACATTATCTGCTCAGCACCCAACATCAGACAGACACGTGGAGATTATATCAGCTTAAAGGATGAAAATGTTTCTGCCTCTCTTCAAGTAGGGTTAGGCAAAGTGCGAATAAAGCATAGAAACTCTCTATATATCATTATATTTTTATAAAAGGACCAAACAGAAAGTTTCTGTTTCTTAATCTTCAAATTAATCATTATTCAGCCTGAAGCTTTGTTCCCTCTTTTTCTTTAAACTGTGTTTTAACATGTTCTCTGCTTTTCTTAACAGACTGGAGTTTGATGCCTACCGGTCAGACCTGGAGGAGCTGAGTCTGGGTCCGAGGGACGCTGTAGCTATGGCTCGTATAGACGCTGCTCAGCAGCAGTACCACGTGCACAAGGAAAAGTACGAACGCCTCCGCTCAGACGTCACCATTAAACTCAAGTTCCTGGAGGAGAATAAGGTCAGTTAGGGGGTTAGGCCTCCATCGTGATTATCAGCCCACAAAGTAAAAAAAAAAAAAACACATACAGGTTAACTGAAACTTTTCTTGTGGGTACAACCCACACACACATAATTTCCCAAACTCTCTTGTGTCCGTCTCTCAGGTGAAGGTGATGCATAAGCAGCTGCTGCTCTTTCATAACGCCATCTCCGCGTACTTCGCTGGCAACCAGCAGCAGCTGGAGCAAACGCTGAAGCAGTTCAACATTAAGTTGAGGCCCCCAGGGGCCGACAAGCCCTCCTGGTTAGAGGAGCAATGAGAGCGCCCCCTGCTGGACCTCCTACAGCCTCCAACTTGACCACCTCCACCTGTTAACCTGTTGAAACCCCCAACTTACAGAGGACCACTACAGAGAGAGACATGCAGATAACCGGGTGGATGGAGAGTGAAGAGGGGTGTGTGCCTGGATGACTGGACTGATGAATTACAGGGTATTATTGGTGAATGGTCCTAAAACAGCAGGAAATAGCTCGGCCAGTTTCATAAACAGTCAGGGGGCTTTTAGTGCCTCTCTTCCCAACTTCCTTGTCTCACTTTAACCTTCTCCTTGTGCTTTGTTCCCAGAGACACTGTTCATCTCTTCCTCCCTCTCTTACCCACTTACCCTAACCCCCTCCTATCTACACTACTTTGCTGTGTACGCTTGTGTTAGTCATTTTTATGGCTATTATTGACCTCCTCAAGTGCTGAGTTAAAATTCAACCCCACCCCACGCACCGCAGAATCAGAGACAGACGAGTCGAGGAAAAACAGCTCAAATCATCCAACGCAAACGCATCAACACTCTTCCAAACCGTCATCACTCTCCTCGTGTGCCTCCTTGAATATGAGCTTAAGTTCAGAAACAAATCGACGTACACATGAAGGGGATTTCTGTGGTACACTGGAAAAGAAATGTGCAAATATTCTAACCAAGTGATTTTTCACTTTTGAAATAGTATCTGATTATTTGTAGCCTAAAAAGAAAAACTGTTAAGTTTAGTATTTGTTAAATTTCATCTCTTTATTTTCGAATCATTTCCGTTATTGAGAGCCGTGTGTTTTATTGGTCAGAGTGCAGGACAGTATAATGTTAGAGCAGTGTGTGCTGGTGTTTAGACTGCGAGTGCTGCAGTGTTTAGTCTCTAATTATGAGAAATATTACACATTTTAACCTGAAAATAATTCAACTCATTCTGTATGTGCAATGATGCAGGTCTTCAATAATTGTATTTAATTTGACATGAGAGACGTGTGGTCATGACTGAGGAGACACGATGGGTCTTACGTTTCTGTCTAGGTCCAATGATGTTTAATGGAGTCACTTCATTATTGAATTGTTTAAAAGGACGGCGGTACATTTTCTTTGGTTTTACATTGACACATAATTTCCTTTATGTGTTTTGTTTTTTTAAGTTTGTCTTTTTTCCGTTAACGAGATCTTATGTTAATATTTAGGCTAGAGTCCGACTGATGTGGATTTTTAGGGGCAAATGTAAATGTTAGGAGGTCAAACATTTTGAAAACTGATATATTGATTGGCCCTATATATAAATATATATATATGTTAACAATACTTAGCAACGATTTCTAAGATATTGATATTAAAGCCCCTTTTCCACTGTTACACTCACTAACATGTGGATTTTGTTTTTTACTCCCGGGTTAATTACTTTAATTTTTGCGTAAAATATAATCAGACATGTACGTCTTTTCACCATTGCTAATTCTGAAAAATAAGTTTTCACATTGGCAACAAAGAAATGCTCACATTAGCTGATTTTTATAGACCATCCCCTTGAGCTCTAATCTAGAATCATATCTTTAAGAATATATGTTTGTTTTCCTTTTCTTCACACTTCTTCAGATTACTGTAGCTCCACAATCCACTGACGCTAACATTTCAACAGAAACTCTGACTAGATAGTGATTGTCAAACTAATGATTCTTCATTTCTTTTATCTCCTGTGACTAAAACAATGCTGAAGTATAATAATAGTAAACAATCATGAATTGTTGAGAGTTTAGAGAAGGTATTGCGGCGTAATAGAGAATGTTTATGCGTCACTGTATTTATTATGTTCATCATATATGTTAATCTTTTAAAATCTAACACACTGGAACTTCTTGTTTGTGCAAATTACTTTTACGTTTATGATTTAATGAAGTTCAAAGCGATACAAAGAATATCCAAACTGTAATTAATCTACTCGAGACGAGAAAATAAATTCTGAGTTGATGGAATTGAGTTTCGTGGTGTCAGACCTCGGTGAAGTCAAATGATGATTATTCAGTGCAATGAATGTTGTACCACTCTGTATTTAGCACCAGTCCTCCAGCTCCTTGTCTCCTCTGTATTTGCATGGCAGACAGATTCATAGCGTCGGTGCAGATATGTGTGTGAGTGCACTGATGCTCTGCTCTTTGCCGTCTGTGCGCCAGCTCGCATGGACTGGCCTAACGCCACGCTTTAGGGGAAAGTTCTGCAGGGAATTGGATTGAATTTCTTTTAATGACAAACAAATATCACAGATGGAGTGTAAGATGTATTCCTTTGCTTGTGTTTTCTGAATTCTTTCGTGACAGTTTGTCCACTGGGTGTATTTTATTGTGGCGTTAAAAAAAAAAAATATCTCTGTAAGACACTTTTTGGCTAAAATTGCAGTTTCCCAGCTCCTGGTCTGATCGACCACCACACAGCAATATTTGACCCTTTGAAAATTCCTCTCCCTAACACCGAAATGAAGATTTATGAAATGAGATATTTTATTTGTGTACAATCAATATTTTGTAGGTTGAGCTGGTATATTGTACTTGATTGCACATAATGGTATTTAAGGTGATAAATGAAGTTGTGTCATGGATTGATGTAGTACTCTGCCTTCATTCCTCACTCAGACCTGAACAGTCCCAACTCACCCCAAGGGAACAAAAAATAAAAATACACGTTTTCAAATGATCTGGCTGTATTTTCTGTTTTGTCCTCCAGCTCACTTGTGTTGCACAGTGGTCAACTTTCTGTTTTATCTAGAGCAGCACCTGGATACAGTCAAAACCAGTCATCCACAGGTATTTAAGAATCATTCTTGATTAAAGTCATTTATCTATCATATCAAAAAAAAGAGGAGAATTTAATTTAATTATTATTTTCCATTTTTGAAAATAAAGTCTAAATGATGAGAATAAAATCAAATCCTCTGGCTGATCAACTCCAGTTAGAGGAGTTGTCAGAGCATCAGATGCAGTTTAAGGCAAAATCTCAAAGTCCTTAAACTGATCACCACAAATAAAATTAATGTATTTGTCTAAATGCTCTAACGTTACTAGTAATAGAATTAATGGAATTTTTTACCTTTTCTCTTGATAAGCAAATTAAAAATCCTCTGAATTACTTTGACTTTATTCTCAATATGACACGTACAGCTTCCTCCTTTCTTTTTTTAACTCTGCCTCTAAATGTGTACATCTTTTATCAAATGGCAGCTCTCTTGTCTTCCTTCATCTGACGCAGTAAAAATACACATTTCATTTGTATTCACGTGTATTCATATACATTTTACCCAGTTTTTGTTTTGTGCTGAATATTTATCTCTCCAAAAAGGGGCGTTCCCACACTTTGAGTCTGACGTGATTTGATTGGTGGCGACGCCCCCTGCACCTGTGACTGACGGCTGTTTGTGAGAGTGACTCTGCTGCAGAAACACGAGGTGAAGCCGGAGAGAGGATTAACTTGATGACTCTTGAACAACAATTCACAAACACGGTGAGTGAAATAAGCCCGGGGACACTTCAGGGATTATTGAAAAAGCCTCAGCAGCGGTTTGCTGTGTGTGATGAGTTGTTTGAGTCAGGGACATGTTTTAAAAACGATGTGATCAGAACTGAATCTGTTGTTTAAAAAACCTGTTCCTTGTTTGTCTTAAAGGTCTTTGACATATTCTGAAAATTCTCTTTAAGATTTGATATTTAACACAGAAATATTCCGCTTTTTTAAGTTGGTTTGTTTGTCAATTCTACAGCTTCACAATAAACAGCAACACACGGTGTAGGACATCATTTGGCTGTGATGTGTGTTTGATGTGTGTGTATATGTGATGTTTACTTGTTGTTAGTTGGATGACAAGTACGCCGAATTCATCATTAGACCCTAATAAGTAATAGGAAGTATATATGCAACTTATGTGAGGCATTCTCCTTTTCCTGAGAGGGAGGACGTATTTAAAACCTATGATTTTCTCAAAGACGTTTCGTGTGATGCATAAAAAAAAATACCTTGAATGAGGGGATTTTATATGTGAAGCAAATATTTAGCTGTTTTCTAGTTTATAGAGGTCAAGTAGAAGAAAAACATGCAATATGTTCCTGCACGTGTGGTGAGAAAAGAAACACTGTCTGATTTGAGGTTTCATATTTGACAGGTCACTTAAAAAACTAATTATGAACCTGATAAATGTGATTTGTCCTTTTTTTTAAAACATTTAGGTTGTTGGACCTTTGACAAAGACATGAGACATTTTCTTGAATTCAATAGGTTGTGTAGGCTCAGTAAAGCAGAAGTTGTAGAAATATGACTGTGATGATATTTTTATTATGTGTAATGTTGATACCTAGAAACTGAGGTAAAGCCGGTGGTGTCTCTTTATCCAGAAAACAAAACTGTACAAAACTAAATAATGAGAAATCATTACATTTGAATTTCCTGTGGACTTTATTTATTATCAGTGCAAACACAGCTTCATGTTTCATTTACACGTGTTTGTCTCCTTAGATCTGAGCGGCCGACAGTGGGACACTTCCCTCCATCATCTTTGGATCGGAGATACAAATGGAGGTAATGCTGATTCTAAAATCTCCATCTCTTCCCAACTCTTCCTCTCAGGACGCGTCTCCTCCTTCATCACCAGATGCTCAGGAAGATCCAGATCTCCAAGAATCTTGCCCCCTGCATCCCACCATGTGTGTCACTGCTGCACCACCACCTCCACCTCCACCACCTCCACCTCCACCACCTCTCCCTCCTCCTCCACCCCCTCCTCCTCCTCTTACTGCCCCTTCGTTTGGCTCCCGTAATGGCCAGAGAAGATCCATGAAAAAGCTGAACTGGGACACCATCCCCAGCCAGCGCGTCCTGGGCAAACTGAACGTCTGGACGTCACAGCGGCCTCAGAGGGACCTGAGGCTGGACATTCGGAGCATGGAGGAGTTGTTCAGTCACGTTGACAAACGGGCATCGCTGCGTAATTCAAAGGTCATGGGACAGAAGACGTCTGATGGCACGCAGCTCTTTCCACAGGAACCTCAGGTAAAGAGGGTTACACTGTGGTTGCATTTGATTTCCAACAAGCTACATTTTCATGGACCTGAAACTCAAACAAAATGTTCATGCTAGGGAAGTAATGACAGAAAAACAAGAAGTCATTTTTCATAAGTTCCACTCCAATGGTATCACCAGTGAGGAACTGCTGGAGTAAAACAGTGTTCGGGGTTTATTTACTTCCTTTAACAACATGTGAATCGTATCAATCAATCAGACTTTATTTGTGTAGTTGTGCAGTTTTCATACAAACAATGTCACACAAGGTGCTTTACAGAAGGAAGGCCATAAAACAATATCCCTCCACCCGGAGAGAGCAGAGCAAAGCAATGCATGATGAGTGTCGTTCTTACAGAGGACATTTTCTTTTTTTATTTATTATTAGTGTTGATAATTGTTCTCCCTTTTCTCCTCAGGTCACAATCCTGGACTCCAAAAAGAGCATGAACATCGGAATCTTTCTCAGACATTTCAAGAGGTAACATCTAAAAGTGAGAATGATACTGAAAATGAATATCTTTAAAATACTGAGGAGCATCTGCAGAAAAAGTGTCTCTGACCACTGCTTAGTGTGATCAGTGAGACAAAAATACACAGTACCCAGCCGACACACACTTTATCTCAGTGGACCATATTCAAATGCATGTAAATGTTGATTAGGTAGCTGTGTTTGGAAGAGCACATTTATATGAACTTTAATGACTCATTTTAATAATACTTGACTGATAAGAAAACTTAGTGCTGTACTCGTCCATGACTCTGAGCTGCAAGAAGCCAGAGCTTCCACAAAATACCAGGTTCAAAACTTTTAACCTTTTCACAAACAAACTTCACAAACTTTTCATTTGATGAATCCCTTGTCTTCCCGGTGGGACAGGGCTCTGGAGAGTTTAGTGACTAAACAAACTTTAAAAGTATAAGAGAGGCAATAAAAGAACTTTAACTGTTCTTTTGGGTGTGCAGATTGTAACACCTGTTTCAGGTTGTTGTCATATACATGGATTCATACTGGAAAACTGCCTCTTTGACGTCACGAGCCAGTTTCTGTGTGAAACTTTATCAAGATGTTGTCACTGTCAGTTCATTCGGCTGTCACTTTGACTATCAGCTGCTCAGTGCGGCTCTGGCATTTTACTTCAACTGAAATTGTGTCAGCTTCTCTGTGGAGCGTGCACTTGATGAGCTGTTTAAAATCATATGCGGGACACTGTAAAACACAAGAGTTAATAGTTTGATGTCAAGTGTGACAATTTGTGGTCTGCATTGTAACAGCAGCATCAGATTAATTTAATTTATAAATTAACAACTAAGACCAAGCAGGATTCTCTCTGTGGTGGATAATTTGCCTCCAGCAGCTTTTGAGTCTTTCAAATTCGATTTTCACAGTTTTAAACAAATAGAACCCAATTAAAAATCCTGGGACTCACGACTCAGCAGGACTGATGCTGTTTGGTGAGTTCTGGTGATCATGGTGGGATTATGGCGTCTCACGTTTGACACTGCTTTTTGTCCCCCGTCTGCAGGCCAGTGACGGAAATGGTGCAGGACATTCGTCAAGGTAACTGGCTCAGGTTCGGAACAGGGAAACTAAAAGAGCTGTGTAAACTGCTGCCAGAGGAAAGTGAGGTAACGACTGATCCACTCTTCTCATCTTTCCACTGTGGTTATATATGCACAACTACTGCCAACTGTGTTTTATTAAGATATTACATTTATCTTAATTTAATAGAAATAAAAACTATTGGCACGAGGTTCATATTGAACAACAACTACAGAAGCTGTTTGTGATTATTTTGGAAGAATATGTTTAACTTTTATTTCACATGGTCTCTTATCTGGTCTGATCACATTAGATGAAAATCAGTGTTTGCTTTTATGTCCTGTCGATGCTCAGGTGAAGCAGCTGCTGTCATTCAGTGGGAACCTCTCTGTGTTACCTGAGGCCGATCAGTTCATGGTGCAGCTGGTCAAAGTGCCGGGGTTCGTTCATTACTCAGACTTTTATTACATATTTGATAGCACGTTAGTTGAAGACAAATAAAATGTGCAAAGTGGTATAATATATTCTTTTCTTCGTCTGTCACCATTATTGGTTCCCTGCAAGAGAAAATAACATTAACTGCAGAAGAGTTTGTTTGCATCCACGCTTCACAGTGAGGAATAAAACTGATGAAATGACCTCAGCTGAGGCAGTAATGTGCAGTTTTGTTGATGTGTCTCTCCTGCAGCTACGAGGAACTCCTGAAAATGATGGTCCTGAGGGAGGAATTCTTTCCTCTCATGGAGGAGGTGAAGAACTCTGTCGCTGTCATGACCAAAGCAGCGAATGGTAACATTTAACAAGCGTCCACCAAAGCTACAACAACATTTTATCTTTCTATTCAGGTTCTTTGTCTTCATCTCTCTTTTCCCCTCTCTCCTTCTAGAGCTGCTGGACTGTGATGAGCTCCACTCCGTCATTCGGCTGGTGTTAAAAGCTGGGAATTACATGAACGCTGTTGGTATTTTTCTTTCACTTTATAGTCTTCATGCATTTAAACTGTCCTCTAACTCTGCTTTTACTCAGCATTTCTTCTGCTGATAATGGACGATTCAATTCAATGTTTTTGTTCAGGGTGGTTACAGTGCCAATGCCATCGGCTTCAGGATGACGTCACTGCTCAAGCTGGCAGACACCAAGGCCAACAAGCCGGGCATGAACCTCATGCATTATGTTGCCAAGGTGAGGACGGGGATGGACAGATGCTCACTGGAGAAAGTATTCAAAACAAAACAACAACCTGTGTCTCTGTACAGCAGTAAAACGTATCTTTCGCCCGCAGCAAGCAGAGGACATTGATGACGAGTTGCTGACATTTCCCAGCCAGCTTGAACACATCGGGTTGGCATCGAGGTGAACAAGTCGGGTGTAATGTGCTGATTTCTGTGTTCTTGGGACGACGCCATGTGAATGTGTGAATATCTTTTGAATCCACAGAATTTGTAAAGACGAGGTGATCACAGACTTTGAGAGAGAGGTGAAGAAGATCAAGGAAGTGAAGCTGTACAGCAGCAGACACCCCGGCCTCGTACAGCAGATGGAGACGTTCTTCCTGGTAAAGTTTGACTTTAAAATGAACAGACTGAGTGAATAATTCTTTGGATCTGACCTTTTTTTTATGTTTTATATTCTCAGAGGGCTAATTTGAAGCTGGACGCTGTGGAGTCCTCCCTCCAGGAGCTAAATTCTCTGAGCAACGCTGTCGCCGAGTATTTCTGTGAAGACCCAGCGACCTTCAAAATGGAGGAGTGCTGCTCCATCTTTCACTCATTCTGCAAACGCTTCGATACAGCCGTACAGGTGAGTGCAGGACGAAGTAGCAGTGATACTTTTAAATGGAATAAACCACATCACAGGGAAGAAATGTAATACTGATCTTTTTCTAAGTGGCACTTGAAAGCTTTAAAAGTGTAAATATTTGAATTCTTCTTTGAATTTCCCTCACCTCAGGATCCCAGTTTTAGAAAATAGCAACATTGTCCATTTCACTAGATATTTAAAAAATCTGCTGCACAATGTGCACATACATCTAATAAATGCTTCAGGAGTATTTGTCCTGTTCCACTCTCTGAGTAGTTGCTATGAAAATGGTGACATAACATTTTGTAAACAAATTATTTTGTCTTTAAATAACCAGTTAAAAATACTTGATCATAATCTTGCGTCACATGACGGCATCACGCATCTTGTGACTTTTTCTCAGGAGAGAGTTGGTGTTTGTAATTCTGTGTCTGACATTCAGAGAATAAAACATCTATCGAATTTGCTGTGGCATGAAAATAATAATAATGATAATAATTTGGAGATTTAACTTTTACAAAAGAAATGAAGCTAAAAATGTTTCATGGCAAATAAATGACTTCAAATGAAAACATTTTATAGTTAATGTAACATAAGATGTAAAATCACACTAAAAGGACCCTGCAGCCACCTACTGGCAGGAAATGTAATGGCAGCAATTGGTGGCTTCCTCTAAGTTCTACAGTGGGATAATTAATCAGCTGGTAAACCACAAACTGGTTGGTTACACCTGACTCTACTGTGGCTGTGTGTCATTGCTCTGCACTGGGTTACATATACGTTCTCTCTTTACCTGCAGGAGAACCGAGAGCGAGAGGAGGCAGAGCAGAAGCGCAAGCGGAAAGAGAGCATGCGAATCGCAGCCAAGCGACGCTCCACAGTGTCTGGTCCAGCACCTGAGCCTAATCCGGACTCCAGCCTGGAGTCGGCCTTGCACAGCTTCCTGTCCACCGTCCCGGAGGGATTATCCAGATGTAGGCGGAACATGCTGTCACCGATCGTAGGATCCCCCTCTGACCACGATCCTCAGACTGGAAAAACTGATGCTTCACCGTGTACCAGACGGGAGAGGCCTGAGAAGAAACAAGTCAAACTGCAGAAGGACAGCGAGCAAGTAACAGCGTTGGAAAACCGAGAGGAAGCTGAGAAGATGCGTGAGATAACTCGGAAGGTGCTTCGCTACCAAAACAGCAGGAGTAGCCTCGACGGGGACAGAGTTTCAGGCACTCCTCCTCACTTAGACCCTCCAGCTACTCCGAGCACCCCTCGACCCAGAACCAGAGACTTCTTCTTCGCCAACAATGGGGACATAGGCTCGCCGTGGACTATCCTGAGCCCTTTGACCTGTTCCGAAAGAAATGTCCCAAAGCAGAACAGACAAGCACACCCAAAGAGACTGTCACTGACACCTGGTGAGGACGATGAAGGAGTCTGGGAGAGTCATGTAGACAATTGTCCTCCCAGTGGTGACAGGCGGACATCTCCATCTGGGGGCTCTGCGTCTGTGCCCGGGTGCCCCCATCAGAGAGCCGTGTCGCAGGGACGGATCCTCAGGTCTGCTTCCATGGATGAAACCAGGCAGTCTCCACTGGCTCGCTTCCGGCTGGGGGACTTGTTCCAGAGGTCATATTCCTCTGGGTCAAGGACAGAAAATATGGAGGACGAAATTTCAGGAGTGTTTCCACTGCATCGCGGCAAGGGGAGGAATAACATCGAGGGGCAAGTGAGCAGCAGCTCTGGGTTTATATCCTTCTTCAGACGCATCGGAGGCCGGAGCAGGCCTGGTGACATCGAAGATCAAAACTTCACAGCATCCAAAAATTTTACTTAGTGACAGAAACTAATTTTTAAATGTCTGTTTATTTTTGTCAATGTGATGATTTTAACCTTCAGTGGAAGGCAAGCGAGCACTTGCTTTGGACTGTGAAGGCTGTGATTTTTGGAAGTTGGGCCACGTTCAAAAATTGTAATCTATTTTTGTCTTTTTTTCCGTGTGCAATAAAGGTACTTTAAACCTTTTTAATTCACTTGTTTATGGTACATGCATTTACCATAACGTGACTTTTAAACATTATCTGCTGCTTTTCAGGTGGAAAATCCACTTGTGCCGTGAAATCCTTGGACGTCTGACCGGTGCTCATGACGCGCTTAGTGACGCCTGCTCAGTTTCCACTACTTGCCTTTCACTTCATCTCTTATTTATTCTGTCTGTTGCTTGTTCAGGTGGCAGACAGCTTAAACATGTAACACTTGTAGTATGGACAAAGACAAATGGATGCATAATATAAATGCAGGCATAATTCAAACTTCTGACTCGTAGCTAATTTTGTGATCAGAATTGACAGGAACATTTAATTCAAATGAGACGCATTGTTGTTGATGAACCCAGCTCAGCTTTTCGTCTTCAATATGATCTGCCCCCCCCCCGCAGTGCCACCCTGGTGTCTCGGCTCAGCAGTCCCTAAAGATTTTGGACAGAAAGAAGGATTCACTTGTGTTACTTGGGCAACAGACTCTTGTTTTCGGCTGTTTGTTTCATTTGAGCCCTCACAGTGAAATAATACTCTGCTGCAAACCGCTCAATGGAGGCTCCTGTCTGACTCTTCTCTTGTGCTCCCACGTCCCTCCCACTGCTGTCTGCTCAATGGGGACATTTGCAGTCGCCTGACATTTCAGATCAGGAGGCATAATGAAAAGAGAGAATCCAGAAAATATATGGGCAGTGTTTTAAGAACTTGTTTGTCTGTTTGACAAAGAAAATGAAACCTCTTTTCTTGGCTCTAAACATGCAGGCTCTCCTCCGTGGCCGCTCAAAGCGAGGCCTTGTACACAGCCAGAGATAACAGTGGCACTCGGAGCGCTGCATCAACGGCGAGCGACCTGTTTCATGTAAAATGAGCTGCGGAGCACAATCGGGCCATTGTTATGTTCTGTTCCGTGCTGCTGAGGATCATCCCATGTGAGTCAGCTCCTGAGGAGTTGGAGGTGACCCACTGTCCTTGCCAAGCTGCACTCTCACCAGGGCTATCAACTGTGTGTGTGTGTGTGTCCCAGTGAAAGATGAGAAACAGGCATGAATAGAGAAGAGAAAGGAGGTGGGGTGAGGTGGGGGGGAAACTTGGACTGAGTGAGAGAGAGGAAGGGAGTTGTATTGTGAAGAAGCAGAGAGGAGGAAACCAGTGACTCCAAAATACAGAGGAAATAAGGGGACGTAGTTAAAGCCTGCACAGTGACAACCATGGACATGTTTTAATGTGGGGAACTGGAAACTGGACAAAAAAGGTAGATTTATATTGAACATGAGTGAAGACTGCATGCATGGATACAGATTAGCCACAAATTAAAGCATTGCTCTGAACTAATATACAGTATTTACACACTTAAATCTGTTTTTTCACATGTGCTTTTAATTTCGAAGGTCAAACCATGAACTGCAGCAAACTTGAAAAAAAACTGAAATGCTACTGAAATGAAAATTCTCTGCTCTTTAGTGAGGTCAAACTTTCTGGCAGCTGTGCCGGTTTGTGCTGTAAACTTAATCCACTGTAGCAGCGACGGGTAGGAGACTGTTTACAAGTGTTGTAATCAGATCGGAGCTTGGAGAGGAAAACCGTGGAGACGTAATAATTCACTGAGTTGATTCCAGAACCGCATCTTAAATCACATTTTAGGTTTTCGGCCAACGTTTAAACTTGAGTCGTGTACACTGCTCGCTATGGACGCCCCTGTCTGTCACTAATATCATTAAAGTCGTTAATAATAATAATAAGATACTTTCTGAAAATAATAAGAAACTATAGAATGATGTAACTTCCTCAAAATAATGTATAACTGTTCATACATTTAAATCTCAATATGACTCATTCCATCACTTTTGTAGAGAAGGGTTTCCCTTACATCTGTGTTGAAGGAAATTGATGCTCCCTAAAAAATCAGATCAAATAATTGGATGCATGAGTGTAACCGCATGTATTTTCATTAATACTGTTTATATAATCAGGTTTAATGCTGAAATATCAACACGTCACTTCATGTTTGCTAACTTGTGATATTTTGTCCAAATAACCAAAGAGATGACCCCGACGTGATTTGAACACGCAACCTTCTGATCTGGAGTCAGACGCGCTACCGTTGCGCCACGAGGTCCTGTGTTGATAAGTAAAATGGAACAACAAAGATTCGATAATAGAAAATATAGTTGTTTTTGGTTCTTCTGTGGTTTTTCTCACGTGTGTTTGTCGTGTCCATCGTCACATGCGTGTCCATCGTCAGCTTTTACGCACGACACTAACCCAGAGTGTTTCTTACGGCTGTTACCTGGTTTTGTTTTTTACGCGGAGTTCAACGCGCGTAAAACAAGAACGTGAGACGCGTCTCTGAATTTCCACATAAAGAAGAGTAGAAGGTGACGCCACAGCTTTGGAATTTATCTGACAGGTTTCTCTAAAGTCTACCTTCCCCGGTGGTTCCTTCCAGCCGAGTGCTGCGGGTGTTTCTGTGCCTAACACTCACTAGATGGTGCAATTTGATAGAGACTCGTTGCCAAATTGCTGCTTTTTCACACAGTAGATGAACCGAGAGGATCCTCAACAGTATAATAGATGTTTTAAGTTTTAAGTAATGACTCATTCACTTTGCAATAAAACAACGTAACTTTAGGATGAATGTATGTTGCAGTTGATCGTGTCCATGGTCCCTCTGACTGTAAATGAATCTGTGGTGATATGAAAAAAACCCTGCAGCCTATTTCCTGCACATGCTATGAATGAATGTGTTGAATCAGTTTGTAATTCAGTTGATTTAGCTGTGACGGATGTGTCTTGTTATTTCCAGCTGTTTCTGTTTAGGAAAGAAGCAGCACATCTGGTTAATCACTTCTCATCTTCATGAGTGACCAACCTGTTCGAAGCAACATGGATGAGTAAGTGCAAACTACACATCCGTTGTTTCTTTCATCTCATTTTGCATTGTCTGTTGTTTGACCTTATATTAAGCGATGATGGCGCCAAGTTCCTCCAAAGGTTCCTGGTTCCGGGGGAAAATTCCTGAGGTGCAAACGCAGCTTATCATTTATTTCTCTCACAATCACAGGCTCTGGTGTCATCAACGTAAAACAAAAACAGTCATTAAATTCATCAGTCACCTTGAAATGAAGTTGTTCGCTCGGCGTTGATGATGTTGTTGTTCCTCCTGCTCTGGCTGCTGCTGATCTGATTAGGATGCATGCTGTTCTCTGTCTGCACTGATGAGATGGAGGCTGCACATTGATTGGCCGGATAGGTGAACATGATGGGAATGATGTATATATACATACAGTTCTTTTTATATATCACATAAAAGACAAATTTTGTTTCTCTCAAAGAGAATCTGCAGATATTCTTGATATCCTGAAGTGGCAGTGAGGAACACTGAAGGATTTGTGTCTCTCTTAGATAGAAAGTCACACATTTCTGGGGTCAGACTTTTTATTGTAGTTGTTTCTTTGTGATTGATTCACTTAAGTAGTTTGAGATTATAAAGGCTTGTGTGTCTGTCTGTGTGTAATTGTTTTGTTAGTGGACAACATAAGAAAGACTCACACACACACCTATACTGATTTCTTTGTAACAAACTAAATATGACATTTTATATTTATATCAAAGTGCTTTAGACCTTTTCTCATGCAGGAGGCCACCGTCTACAGAATTTCCTTCCTCAGAGGTAAATGAGAGCGAAGACGTACTGCAGACTCTCAACTCTTTGGATGTTTTATCAAAGAATACCACACGGTGGTAAAGGATCGCCTTACTGGGGTCGAATCCCGGTTTGGTCGGGGGTTTGCATGTTCTCCTCTTGTCCGCTTCCTCCCACAGTCCAAAGACATGTGGACTAGGTTAATGGAAAACTGTAAATTCTCGTATGTGTGAATGTTGATATTTACACTATTCTGACATAAACTGAAAATGTGGTCCAGTATACAGCTGTGTGTTTACATAAGCAGGGAATGAATAGGTGAATAAATGCCGAATAAAATAGTTTGTCTTCATGCTGAGTCAAAAACCATGTCTATACCTGCAGGGTTCTCCAAACCTGCAGGTATAGACGGGGCTTTATGATTTGCAGGTCAGGGAAGAGAAGCCAAGAGCGCGAGAGAGAGAGAGAGAGAGAGAGGGAAAGAGAGAGAGCGAGCAGCCATCTGCGTGTTCTGCTGCACTGGATGCAGTCTCCATGGCAACATGGTGCTCCCGCAGCAAAATCCTGGGAAGATGGTTTGGTCCCCACCCCCATGCGCATGCACACAAGTGCTACGCAAATGCTTGAGAGGAGGACGGCGCTCGCTCCTCGGATGTCCATGCGCACACACACACACACACACACACACGCACACGCACACGCACACGCACACACGCACACACGCACACACACACACACACACACACACACACACACACACACACGTCCTTTAAACTCCACGGCTGCACAACCAGACAACATTTATCCTTGGGAGGAACTTGAACCCAGAGTCCTTGAACACCCGTTTACTTTCTCAAACCCATCCTCTGTCCCTCACTTTTCATTTTCACTCTTCCTTCTTCACCTCTCCATCAAATTTGTCATTCTCTCCATCCATCAGTTCCCTGCACCTGCACTGTGTTTGTGAGGAGACAGTTTCTCGGTTTACCACTTCTCTCTCTCAGATGAAGCATCATCAGTTTTCTGTTTGACAGTTTGAGGTTTTCTCATTCTCCTTACACACACACACACACACACACACACACACACACACACACACANCACACACACACACACACACACACACACACAAGCGCTAAAAAAGAGGGAGACAAGATAAGGAAGGGAGAGTGAGGGTGTAGAAATAAATGCTCTGTCTCTTTGTTGCCATATCCCCTCCGCTCTGCTCATCTCTCACACTATTGGACCATGGAGCCCCCTCCCATATTCACAGCAGCCAGTCAGCTCGTACAATCTCAGTATCTCTTGCCTCCTAAGAGTCTCTCTCTCTCTCTCTTTCTCTCTATATCTCACTCACTCACTCTTCCTCCTGCTTGCACGCACATACATGTATTGAAGCCAGATCCCCAACACACACACACACGCCCTGTCCCTGCCTGCCTCCCTGGACTCCCTGCTGCATGAGGTGCTTTTTGCTGTGGCGATGTTGGGTTCTGTGGACGGATGTGTCTCCCACTGGGGGAGAGCTTTCTGAAAACTTCCCCTCTCTTCTGTCAGGAACCTGCTGTAAGTAAATCTTTGGCTACACTCCTCCTCGCTCTGTAACGTCATCCCCACTACGGCACTCATTCCTTCATCCTTGTCCATCCCACACCTTTCTCCCCTTGGTATGAAGGATGCAAACCTCTCCTCTCTGTCATGCCTCCTCTCTCCACTCACCTTCCTCTAACTGCTGCATACACCCTATGTTGCCTGTATCCAAAATAACGCTGCAGGCCATTCGCTGGCCTGTGCCGTGCAGCATAACCTGTATATATTCCCTGCTTGTGTGTTTGACAGCTTCTCTGAGGCAGAGCTCAGTGTGATTCGAGGTGAGTGGAGTGATGAGCTGCAGCTTTATGTGCCGGAGAAGTGGTTTGATGATATTCTGATAGAAACCACTTGAAATGTAAATTTGTGGCTTGATGCATTATGTCTTTAAAAAGCTTTTTTTTTGCCCAAAATATTGTTTACATAGGAGATTTAACAAATTTTATTTTGTCAGCGTGCATAAATATCTACTACAGTTTATCAATATACGATATTTATATAGTTTGGACTTTTGCCAGTTTATGTCTATTTTACATTTATATGATAGACATTAAAAAGTTACTGTGTGTTCGTTAAAGACTAAACAGCGATTACGATCAAACTTTATGCACTTTTTTTGTACATTAGTCTCATTTTGTCGTGATATTATCGTCATCATGGGCCGTGTATCACGTATCATATCATATCGTGAGTTACCCCAAGTGACAACCTGGTCAACCTTTGTACGATTTCTGATTACATGCATTACATGCACTGACTCTCCTCTGTCGCTCTGTGTCAGTTCTTCAGTTTGGTCTCATTCTAAATTTCTACCGAGACACAGCTGATGATGCTGTGAGAAGAATCTCACGTCTTCCTCAAAGCGATGTCCGCTCTTTGTGAGCGTGTAAAGGCCGGGACATCGAACAAGGACATTTTTAAAGGGTTAAAATAGTGGTGTGGGGGGGAACCTCTGGCCACGGTGGGGGAGGTGGGGACTGGAATGTCCAGCTGGCATGGGAGGAATGTCATCAGAGCGGCATTGGGAGGGGAGAGAGTCAGACGAGGAGGGATGTAAACTTAACGGTGAAAATATTCTGAGCGGCTGCCAAGTACTGAAACTACTGGATGTTCTGTCCCACTTGTGTCCACACTCTCATAGACCGTCTTAGATTATCAGCTCAGTTGATGTGGAGCCAATTTTCTATTCTATTTATACATTATGGTCGTTAAAGTGTTTGCTGGTGCATCTAATTGGATTTTCTTGTTATGAGGTTTAATATAAACGCTAGAGCCTGACTGATGTATTGGAAACTTTCACAGACATATCGATATCTGTGTTTGCAGATATGAAAACTTGGCGTATTTATACTTAAATGTTGTGTTTTTTATAGTTATTTATAATAAACTTTATGTTTTAATATATATAAATATATATATCAGCCACTGTGTCTGTATTGGAAATGTTTTATTCTTTACTATCGGTTTGAGCATTGGCCACAAAAATCCTTATACAGGCTCTAACAAGCGTATATATTCCACCTCTCTGTAAATGACTCACAGTGGCATCTAGCACCGTGACAAAAGACTCTGATAAACACTGTAGGCACTGACAGTTGTGTTTGTCAAAGGTTTTCAGGTGATCGTGTTGCCATGGGTAACAGAAATGTCTCTTCCTCTCCGCAGGGTCAAGCAAATGTTTGTGTAAATGTTTTTGATGCAGGCTTCATACGAACCATCAGAGAGAACAGGAGGGAAGGCGTTCGTGGGAAATGTGCAGGATAGAAAATGTGCGGCTCAAATTCATTAACTCTGACTTTGATAGAACATTTATTAACTTTATCTTTGATGAGAACATAATGTTAAAAATGTGGGGGCTTCTCTGAAAGATGATGGAAACTCTCCTTATAATTAACCTTTTACCCTCTGCTGTAAAAAGCTATGATGGCTTGTTAATCCATAATTATTAATAATTTGTCTTTATCAATGTATTTGGTTCTATGTTGTGCTTTCCGTTGCTATGTGCATTATATTATGCACAGGGTTTAAGCCTAGAGACAATGTGAAGAGTTTCATTTTCACTTTTATGTGCATTTTATATTTCGCTTTGAAGTACAAACAACTTTTATTTCTCCTCTGGTGCAAAAGATAAGATGTTGAAGCTGAAAACATCGTTGGCTGCATCATATTAGATGCTACAGGCTCTGCTGTCTGACAGAAAGGTCACATGTGATTTGGTTAGAAAACCAGTCTGTGAGTGTTCGCACTAACATGTGAACACATGCAGAGGATCCGTGTGTGGAAATAGAGCGAGTGTGTGTTTGTGCTCTGGTTGTGGACATTTCCAAAGCACATTCACAGTCGTGTGCACGTTGTATTGTGTGGAAGGAGCCATGTGGTGAAAGCTCCGCAGCTGAGCTGAGAGATGCACTCATGTCATGTTGGATATTTTTAGACACGTCGCTCAGGGGGCTCAGTAATAGCACTGACCATATTATACCATTTTCTTCAGCATTTCATATACATCAGATTATACAACCACAACAAAACACTGTTGTTTAATTTCAGTTTGAAAGAAATTTTTTTTTAATTTACAAAGACAAAATATCTCTGTGCAGTGCAGCAAAAACTGCAATACTACATAACTTCACGTTTAAATTGGGTTTTTAAAGTTGCTCCGGCTGAGACTAGAAATATACAGATACCAGGACAATAACGATAAATAGAAATACAAAATATAGGGAAGTGTTTAAAATAAGAAAGTTTGGAAGAAATATATGCATTATAATAAGATATATATATAAAAAGAAGCCAATACAATACATCTAACACTGCTTCAGTTCATCATAAACTATGATCTAAGTGTCAGAAGAAGGAGATTCTTCTTGCTTCTTTGGTGATGATGTGTTAAAGTTGTGTGCACCTGTGTGTGTCTGTGTGTGTTCATGTGTGCTGAGGTGTGAGCCGACCATTAATATGTTGATACAGACGGTTCCTGTGACACATTCCTGTCCAGCTCAGCTCAGATCAGGCAAGCTGATAAATTTAGGCCTCGCTGTGTGGAGGACAGTGAGTAGAGGGGAAGGTTTACCACCCATCGAGATTCGTCATCCGCCACATCACACGTACTCGCAGGCATCTCAGTTCTTTTCCACCCTGTCGTCACACCAGCATAGCAAAAGCCTGATCTGTTTACTGTAGGATTCCTTCAGATAAAACTAGTGCAAGAAAATCCTGTATTTGTGATACTTTTAGTATTTATTTTTGAGAGTTGAGTTATTTTCAGGCCTTGGATTGAATTTGAATTTGACCACCAGGCGTGTGGTTTAGGCCACACTCCCAGTCCTTCATGTGCAGAGGTGGACAGACGTACAGATCATAAATCCGTCGACCTATTGGCATGACGAACAAATGATGGAATTTCTAATCCCCTTAAGTAAATGAATTTCTGCCCCATTGGAGCCACTGAGTTCTTTTTTTTCTCATGATGTTTAAAATGTGCAGCAAGGGCGGATAAAGCAGAAAAACAAAAACACAACGAGACGAGCAGAGTTTCTCTGCTCCGTACAACCAGAGAGTGAGAAAAAACAACTCCAGGTCCCAGGGAAAATGCATTTTATCTCATCCTGCAGAAATCCTCCCCCCTCTTTGTATGTGTGTGTTTCTGTGATGTGAAAGACGTGCGAGCAAACTGCCCACAGCAAAGAGCTTTTTTCTGCTGTGATTGGTGAGTTTTCTGGATATTCAGCTCTTATATAAACCAAATTTGACCTTTTTATAAAACAAAAACTTAAACTTCCCAAATAAATTCTCTCACGGAGACACTTGTGATCTGTTGAACTTACATGAAACATCACTGTGGTTCTGTTGTGTCATGAACTGGCTGTTTATGTTAATGTATGTTTAGCTCGGAGGCTTTTATTCCCTCAGTTATTTAAAGAAACAAATTATTTCAGGATCAGCTCCTCTACCCTGTGACACATGCCCCGCTTTCACTGAGACTATAATGGCACAGCGAGAGCGTTGAGGATGAAGAGATCATGTAGAATGAATCTATTTATTTGAATATTCATTTTCAAACATTTGAACATTAAAAATGTGTAAACTAGCCATACAAGCTGTTTTTATCTAATACTGACATTCATCAATTTTAGTAGTAAATCACAAATCAGGAAATATCAAGGTAATCATATCAGTGAATATGCATTATATTTATATAACATTTAAAATTATGTGATATAAGAAGATTTTGTGATGTGATGTGCACACTGACTCTGCACTTTAAGAGCTGCCTCTCTCTCTCTCTGTGTATCTGAGCTGCTCGTGTATCTCAAGGCTCAGTGGAGTTGAGCTGCTGTTCTGATGTTTGCTTGATGTTTTCCACGTCAGGAATCTCTTGATGAAGTTCAGTCTGCAGCAGAGTAAATGTGAGAGGAGAGACGGTGGAGTGCTTTCATGACTGTGGCGCTCGCAGGGTCGACGGGTTTAGTTTGGATCAAAAACAAGGATCAAGAATTGAATTATATTATAATGTATATGTTTGTATATGCCGGGCGGCACAGTGATGCAGCGGTTTGTCACATCACATCAAGAATGTTTTGGGTTCGAACCTGCAGGCTGACCAGGGCCTTTCTGTGTGGAGTGTGCATGTTTTCTGTTTGCCTGCGGAGGTTTTGCCCTCTGACAGTCCAATGACTTGCTGAGGTTCTGAATTTTTCTTCATATATGTCCCCATAGGAATGATTTGACATTCCCTATTTTATTTTTACTCTTCTACTTAGTTTTGTGAAAGAACAAGAAAAGAACACAAGAGGACGTTGTCTTAGAAAGATACTGGACATGAATTCAAAGTATTCTCATCATGTATTTCTCTCTGAATTCTCGTGTATCATGATTATTTTAAGGGAGGAATCTGGAAACATTTCAAAGACTCTCATGGGCCCCCATCTGTTTTTTCAGTTTTCAGGACTTTAGGAACCAAACGTGTCTGAAAGCTT